TTGTAACGTGTGCACGTAAATCAGCCTAGAACGATGTTTAATGTTCATATTCAACGAATTATTATTATTATTATTTAGTGTTCTGTCTGACGACAGGTCCATATGAACAGGATCCTTCCATCCTTTTCTCGGACTGGGACCTGTTCATATACGTTCTTGGCAGATGATCCAGAAGTGATTTGCCATTGCCTTCTTCTGTGTGTGAATAGAGTAATTGTTGGGATGCCACCACCATGGCGGCATTCAACGAATATAGACTGATAATTATATTCAGATTCCACATTCGTAATAATTGTTTTAATCGTGTAGACTGGGTGATAAAGTAGGAAGCAGTAGATTAAAATCGAATTCTTTGTGCGGTGTTCGAATCTTCTTTTGAATAGGACGTAACATGGTGCTGCAAGGAGAATGTAGAGACGAGGGAGAGAAATTGACATAAGAGTGAAGAAAATTACGCGTAACTTATTATTTGTATGATGAAAATTCACACCCTCGCAGCCTGTTTCTTAAAGATAAATTTCAGTACTTGGCCTGTATTCTCATCGCATATGCTGTTTGAGTGATCTTGTCCGTTCAGGTTTTCCAATTAAAATGTGTTAAGAACGATGTGTTTTTAAGTGTTTTATTTATTACATTTTCGATTTAAATTGTCACCCGTGAAGTCTGTTCTGCGTTGATCTGCGAACAAATAAATAAGCAAATGGCTGCAAATAAAATTATTATTTGGCGGATTAAAATGCAAATGGAGACAAATAAAATACTAATAAAATATTATATTAATTTAGTGTCTATACCAGCCTAGGGCCTGCGAGGAAACAGTGTATATATAATGTCCTGAGCTTCACGAAGTGCGTATTTTCAGTTCATTAACATGTGTGGAAAGATTGACGTTTATCGTCTAGGGGAGGTGTAACTTAAAATCAATTTATCTTAATGAGCGAATGGAATGAACAGGGAGAGAACTCTGCTATCTCTGAAATACTGCGTCTGTGTGAAGGGCAGTGCTGGAGATAGTAAGTATCAGACTTCGGCTTGTCATGTTACGTTTTATATTATTGGCAGCTGTTCTGATGTTTACGCAACTTTGCATTAGATTCAGCGACATGTGATGTTGATATAATATTGTTTCAGACATTAAGGAACTCGTAAATTGCATCCTACACAGTTCGTCCTCGGTATTGTAACGCGAATGTTACAACCCGTAGCTCGGATATCGGAAAACAGTGAAGTCTATTTGGCCTTATCGTAGCGAACCGAAAAATTTTGAATTCTCAACACTGCAATCACGTTAAATATTTAATATTTCATAAAGATTAACGAGGAACCATATTTGCTTGGAAACCATACTTTGGTATGAAGATTTCTGTCTTCTGGGTTGTTGCGCCGTGTAGCCTGGTAGATGTCCACCAGAGTACACGGCCCAACAACCCAGAAGACAGCAATCTTCAGAATCACCGCCGTCAAAACCTCAAATCCTACAGAAATTTGGTACGTCAAATCATTAACATTTTAACAAAACTCTCTCCTCTCTTGTTGTTTCTGTGAGGAGTTTCATAATTTGCACTCCACAAAATATTATAAGGGTTATCGGATAAGGTGGATGAAGTGGTCAGTGTATGTAGCATGCATAGGAGGTATGAAAAATGTGCGGAAGTATGTTGGCGGAAAACCTACAGCGGAGAGACTGCTTGGGAGACGTAAGTGTAGATGGTATGTCGGTCCAAGTTATGTTAATAGACGTGAGAAAAGGGAAGCTTAGAGGTCGTATTGATTGCCTGTCTACCCAGTACAGCTGTGATAATAAGAAATTCGTGCTGCTGTGTACGAAGAGGCGTAAGATGTCTCTTCGTTAGCGGTCATTTTCAACCTGAGGACGGAAGCAGATCCAGTTTCCGAAACGTAGTGTTCTTGTTTTTAAAAACACAGACGAAGGACATAGTCCAAGAATTTGGTGATCACGGTTGTAACACAGCATCGTCAATACCCTTTAAAATAGATTTGGAATAATTTACAACCTGATACTGACGCCAGCAGAGTTTGTGTTCAATTTATTGGCTCGTTTTACTACTTGAAGGGCATTGTTTCCTTTTATGGACACATTTAATTGGCCTTGTAGTACTGTCGTAACATTTCACGTGCAGGTTTTTATGGAGGCGCTGTGTTTGGATGGGAGATTGTTGTATCTTGCTATGTCGATTTTCTTATCGAAGTAGCCTGGCAGTTGCATATGCAGATAACGCAGAACTGAAAATCACGTAATTTATAAAATCGGTGCTAGAGATTTGGAAATGAGAAGTCAACGACTTGCTTGCACAACCCGAATAATTTACTAAAATAATGTTAAAGGCCACGGTGGTCTAGAGGTTAGAACGCTGGCCTTGTAATCCTGGGGTCTCGGGTTCGATTCCCAGCGGTGCCCGGATTTATAACTTGTGTTGGGCAAGGCCGTGGTCTAGGCAACACGGAGTTTTCCTCCGTGGCATCCCAACAATTACTCCATTCACACACAGAAGAAGGCAATGGCAAACCACTTCCGGATCATCTGCCAAGAACGTATATGAACAGATCCCAGTCCGAGAAAAGGATGGAAGAAGGATCCTGTTCATATGGACCTGACCTGTCGTCACACACAACACTAAATAAATAAATAATAGATACCTGTCTACCAGTTAGGTAAGCTGATGCTACTTAAGTGACGAACCAACAAACAGCTAACTGACTTCTGTTTTGCATGAACTGATTTCCCACGTTGTGATGCTCATGTAGTGCTTTCGTGTGAAGATAAGCCTACATTCCCATGGACACGGTCTGTTCCATCCCAGCGCCTCGCGGTGGTGGTTCTGTGATCTGCTTGGTTGCATCGCTGTCAGGCGAACGCGATGAAATCATCTTCAAGAAACTGAGGAAATTACTCGGTAGGGAACTTCACGCGCGCTTACTGTAGCTGTATTATTAGCAGTTATCTGTCTGGTTGGCTCTGCCGTGAAATTTGACGAGTTTCGTCTCAGGAAAATCTTCATGAGAATATCTAGGGCAAATTTGGGCGATGAACGACTCTGTTACCGTCTGCGATCTGCAAAGGGGGGAAGGGTTTAATGTGTAGAGTGGTGAGAAGACAACCATTTTCGGGCTCCGCCGTGGAAACATCGAATCGTAACTAGGGCGGTGTTTTAAACTGATCTTTCTGCAAAGATGCTGCAAGAAGATGCGGAAAGAGCGACAGATTCAATGGCGTCGACCATTCGAGGTGATTGCCGTCCGTCGCGTGTTCACCATTTGGATCACCGTATCATTAAGATCCGTTAGAATGGTTTTGAAACGCGGCTGAGCGCGTTTTGACGTCATCTCTAACGTAATATCTCACTCTCAAGCAGTTTGTTCCGGACAGTGAATTGGAAAGGTGGCAAATTACACGCCACAATTAACACACAGCCTTCTGTATTGCAACAATTATTAGTCAGTAGAAGATTATTACAACGAATACTGTAATCATGGATACGCTCCAGTGGTTTCTTGACATTTGTGTTCTCTACCCGAAATATGTTCATTTAATTGTGATGTTTGTGGTGATCTCGATTTGGTTTCCTTCCAGTATAAAACATATGCTCCTGCTTAAAATCTTGTCATATTTTGTGCGATAAATCTGCAAAATTAAGCTCGTACCAGGAGATCATAATATATGCACGCAGAATTTTGATTCGGGAACGTCATAAAATCTTGGTAAACTTTCATGTAAGTGGGGGTCATAGTATTTTAATAGCGCTTCTGTAAATTCTCTAGATTTGTTCAGGGAAGATTCTACATGGGAACAATATATGATTACACGGCGAATTGACTTAATAAAATCCTCTCGGGCTATCAGCAGTGTCAAATGGTTAAGACTCGGAGACGTTTCAGTGACTTTGTACATTGAAGCCGTAATTCTTATAACGCACTCCAGTTATGTTGTGCGAACCGACACGTTTACGATTAATATTTCCACTCTAAACATACGTATATTTTTTTTCCAACAGTAGTAACCAACACGATTAAAATAACAATTCATATGTTGAACACATTACGTTGTGCATCCGAAGTATATGATATTTAATTACGCACTGGGACATTTTATCTTTAACATAATCGTGACATTACCGATTCTCGGACCACAGTTTGAAAGACACTTTTGTATGTAATACAGCTTTATAAGTGTTTTCTTTTCTCGTGTCACTTATCCGACGTCATTTGTTGTCTGGTGTGAAGTAGTAGCTCCTAGATTTTAAATGTTAAAGGGTTAGTGTGTTATTTTAAGACGGACGGCTGGAATAGTGAATATGGCTGCCTTCTGGTTTGTAGCGCCGCGTAGTCGGTTGGAAGTTTACCAACATATCAGAGGTTCTTGCTGTCTCCATCATCAGGGCGATGAGAACGCCGGATAACCTGACGCCACAACCCAGAAGATGGCCATCTTCGTAGTCATCGTCGAGAGAACCTCAGATCCTACTAGGATGGAATGGTTTCCAAAGCACAGTAGTGTGTGAAGTCACGCTTCACTTACGGATATTTGCGAAATAGTAAATATTTCTGTCTTTTAATCTTGTTGGCAGAATGACTTTGCTGTGTACCCCCCCCCCCCATTTCTAGAAAATATGGGTAAACTGTTTACCCTGACTTAAATGTTTAAACATTATCTTATCTTCTCGCTGCTGTTATATGCACCAGCATCAGGTATTCGTATTAATAATGGACATCCTTTACCTGATGATGGTGCGCAAAGAAAGGATCGAAACATGTTACAGAAAATTGTTCGTTCATACAAAATATGTTGATGTATGTAAAAATATAAATATAATAATTTCAGGCAACTTGTTTGCATTTCTCTTTTATCAGAATTATTATTAACAATTCTGTATGTACAGGACATATGCAAATCTAATGTAACTAAATAATCCCTTGTATTTAACGCCTACCTAATCGGTTGTCGGCCAAGGTAATTAATTGTTAGCTGTTTGTGATTGCAGATCTGTCTCGGGCGCAACGTACGTTGTCCAACAGCCTTGTGAAGTTTAACTTCGAATGTATTGGCACCTCGCAGACAGACGATGAGGTAGGGATATCCGTTTCCCTGAAAGAGTTCGGTCGCCTCATCGCCAATATTGAGGATCAGCGAGACATGATGGTAAGTAACCAGAGCAAGTGAGGAGCGCTTATCGATTGTTCAAACATCATTGAGTGTGTCAGTTGACTGTCAGTAGATGCCAATATGCGTCTGTCAACCATTTAACACTACGCCAGAACCCAGAAGGACAATCATCATTATTGTCACCGCCCCGAACATCTCAAAACAATGCAGTGTAAGGCCAAAAATGTGATTTATTACATTTAGAACTGTGGATGTTCAGTAAATTAATGTAAATTGCAAATGATCTATGAAAAATCACGAAAGAAGCGTTTGGGAACAAGTTAAGAAATATACGCTTAGTGTAACAATTTTGTCGCGTTAGCGAAAATTTGACCCTTGCGGATGGCGCCAGTAGCATGAGTTGTTTGGGGTCATTGACATTTGACCTCGCGCCGTGGTGTCTGCGTCACTGCCACTGGCTCCCAAACTGTGATCTTTCCCCCAGATTTAGTAGAGTGTTCAGAGAAATGGATTGTTCCTTGCACATTTTAATACCCTAATGGAGCTACGGTTCGCCACGGTGGTCTAGCGGTCAGAACACTAGCCTTGTAAGCCTGGGGTCCCGGGTTCAATTCCCGGTGGTGCTCAAATTTATAACTTGTGTTGGGCAAGGCCGTGGTCTAGGCATCACGGAGTTTTCCTCCGGGGGCTTCCCCGGTTTCTCCGTGGCATCCCAACAATTACTCCATTCACACACAGAAGAAGGCAATGGCAAACCACTTCTGATCATCTCTGCCAAGAATGTATATATGTATGAGCAGGTCCCTGACAACCTGAAGAGGTTGGAAGGATCCTGTTCATAATATATGGACCTGTCGTCAGACAGAACACTAAAAATAAAAATAAAAAAATTTCAGGACACTTGCTGTTGTAAAAATACCACACCAAGTTTTACCATCGACACAAGTATACAGTTAAAAACAAATGTACAGTAGTCGGTACCCAACCGTGCGTTTCGCCAACGTCATACCTTGGGGGGGGGGGGGGGGGGAGGGGGAACA